ACACAAGCTCAAAGGAGATGTTTCTCTAATAACTGGGTTCATAGTCTTCAGCAGTTTGTCAAAGGGGTCCTGGACACAAGAGGTTAAGAACCCATTGCCACACACTACCAACAGCTGGATTTCTCACCACTTCAAACTCATGGGCTCATCATATTTCTCCTCAAAGCTTCTCTTCTCTTCTGGCTAGTCTCTCTGCCTCACCTCTCCCCACCCTCTATTCAGCTCCCCAATTGATCTTCCTATAGCAAGTTTATGTCACCCCTCTATTAAATCAACCCCAATGGCTCCTTATTGCCTTTGGGATCAACTACGAAATCTTTTGTTTGGCTCTTAAAGCCATAAATTGGCTCCTTCTGCCTTTCCAGTTTTCTTTTACCTTACTGCCCTTCATGTACTCTTAGATCCATAACACTCCATTTCTCAAATCCTGGTGTTTACACTGACTGTCCCCCATGCCTGGAACACATTCTTCTCCCAGCTTCCTTGTCTTCCTTCAAGCCTCAGCTAAAGTCCTACCTTCTGCAAGAAACCCTTCAAAGACCTCCTTCATCTTGGTGCCTGCTCTCTGAGGTTATCTTCAATTTTCTCTGTAAAGCTCTAGTTTGTACTGAGCTGTTTGCATGCCATCTCCTCCCTTACACCCTGAGCTCAAGAGCTGGGACGGGTTTTTGCCTTTCTTTAAATTCCCCCAACTAGGTAGAGTGCTTGTCTCACAGTATGTTCTTAACAATTTTTTTGATGTGACAACATGACTTGTGATTTCATTGTCTTGGTCAAAGCCACCTCCATTCACTCAGCCTCTCCTGTGGAAATCCTGGTGTTATCTTTGATCCATCCTCTCCCATGACCAGCTACTAGGTGCTGCTCAATGTATCTCCAGGGCAGCTCTCATGTTTCTTCTTCCTTCTCTATTCCTAATTTTCTCTACTACAGGAGAGGTCTTTATACCACCAGGGACTACTATAGCATCCTCTAATATGGACTTCTCAACCTATTGAAGGTAATATCAAGGGTAGCCTTGGCCCTGGTGTGTCCTGCTATGTGCTTTTCCTGATCAACTCTCATTGTTTTCTCTTTTTTTAAAATTTTTTTAGAGGTCTCCTAGTTTTATCATTCAGTGTTTTCCAGACTTGTTATTGACATAGCATTTCTCTTATGTCTCATAACCGTTTTCCCCCAATCCACTATTGTTTAATAGATGAAGATTTTATTTTTCTTCAGCAATCAGGAATGAACAGAATTTTAAGTATCCATTATTATTGTTTATGCAGAACTGAAATCTATGCCTGAAGCTGATTGAGGTGATCAAGGCTGGTCTTCAGCCTGATGCCCATTTTCTCATTTTCTGAGGACACATTCTGGTTCTGCACTTTAAGCTGAGCTAGTTCTGTCTGCCAACAGTCCTTCTGTCCTTTCAGGCCCTCATTCTCCTCATTCAGGACAGTGATCCTCTGCTCTAAATGTCTTAGTGACATCTGTCAGAGATTCTAGTCTCTCCTGCAGTTCCTGAGCCTTTTGGAGTTCACCACGCACGTCTGAGTTCTGCTTCTGGAGACTAACACAGGTGTCTTGCAGCTCCTGGTTCTGTTGGCACAGTTCTTGGTTGAGCTACTCAATCTCCTCCACCTCTCCCTGAGTGGTGACCACTAAAACGTCCTCCTCACTTTCTGGATGAAACTGGAAAGGGACACTGCCCCCCCCCCAGACAACACCATTGTCCTTGGGTAGGTAGGAAGTTTTAAATTGCACTTGTTGCTACAAGGACAATCTTCTGTGGAAATTGGCAGGCAAAGCAGTCCCCACAAAGATGTCATATGCTTGGGTTGTCTTCCATCCTACACTAAAGATGCCAACAGTCTTTCTGGTGGGGAATGAAATGCTGAGTGAGGATGTAATAGCATGTGATGTCTCCTCTAGAAAGCTAAAATTTCTCCACATAGTTAAAGATGATCTGAGAGAAATGGCAATGATCCAGCAGGATGGCTGACATGGGTGGCTCTTCCATGGTGGGGGGGAGAGGGCCTTCCACAGTAACAACAGCAGCCACTAGCAGCTGTGTTGCAACACCAACAGGGGCAGGGGGGCATGGAGGTGGGGAACATCACAGGGAGAACTTCTCTTCACCCGCCCCACCCCCAAATCCATTATTCTTAATGAGGGCACCAACAATTTTCTGGTCATTCATGTGTGTATGTAACATGACCTTAGGCCAGAACTATTACAATAGCCTGCTGAGGGGTCTCCTTGCCTCAGTATCTCCCCACTCTGGGTCATCCTCTACTCAGATGTCAAATTGCTCTTTCTAAAGTGCAGGTATTTCCAGGACTCATGGTGGAAAATGCTATCCACATCCACAGAAAGAACTGACGGAGGCTGAATGCAGATCTAAGCATACTATTTTTACTTTCTTTGCTCTTTCCATGTTTTTTCCCCCTTTTGTTCTGTTTCTTCCTTCAAAACATGACTAATGTGGAAATATGTTTTACATGGTGGTACATGTATGACCTATAGATTGTTTGCTGTTTTGGGGAGGGGTGAGGAGAGAGAGAGGGAGAAAAATTTGTAACTCAAAATCTTGTAAAAAAGTGAATGTTGAAAACTATCTTTACACGTAATTGGAATAAAATATTATTTAAAAAATAAGGAGCAGGTAAGACCATGTTATTTTCCTATTCAACAAACTTCAGTGGCCCTCTACTACTACAGGAATAAATATTTGGAACTCAAAATCTTGTGGAAGTCAATGTTGAAAACTAAAAATTAATTAATTCTAAAAAAGGAACAAAAATAAAATCCTGTTGACTTTCCGACTGTGCACTCCTTCAAGGCAAGGACCACTTTCTGCCTTTCTTTGTGTCCCCAGCACTTAGCCTAGTGCTTGGCACTTGGAAGGCACTTAATCAAGGCTTACTCATTTGATTTGACTAATCTTATGGAGCTTCACCCTCCTCATCTATAAAATGAAGGGTTTAGACCAGATGGCCTCGGAGGCGTCTTCCAACTCTCGATCGATGCTCTATAGTCAAAGGGCATTGGTTGCCAGAAAATGTAGCAAAGGAAAGAACGAAGTCCTTGAACCCATGGTCTATTGCTTTCTCACCAAAGAAGATGCCAGAGGGGCAATTCCCTAGGAAATGGACAGGTTACTTAGAGATTAACAGAACTTCCTTGGGATTCACGGGCTCCTAACAGACATTTAGCTCCTTGCTTCCCCGTGGGATTTATTGCTTTCTCTGTTACTTTATATCCCTAAATTCCAGAGATCTTTGTTTCCAAAAATGATGATTTCATAGATAAGATTCGTATCAGCCCAAATAAAGAAGTTTGGCAGCCTAGATGCTAGGAATAATAACAAATGTCTGCATCCTTCCAAATGTTCATTAATGGAGAAGAAAAAGATCAATATTCCCATGGATTGGATAGAATCTATGACAACCTGGAAACTAAAATACTGCTCAGAAATTTCTGTACAAAATGGACAAGTAGCTGAGCAATCTTGGCTGCTTCATCCCCCAACAGCCCTATAGGGAGCTGCCACTCTCCCCACATCTCCCCAGCTCCCAAATTCTGCTCTGACACTGACAGGTTTCTGCACTCTCCAAAGGAGAAGAGCCCAACTTGGATGAAGAGCAGAGGAGGCCCAGCAACCTCATTTCCAGCCCTCCTGACACTTCTGCTGCTGGTCAAGTACAGTCTGCCATAAACATCGTCAGGAAAAGGTAAGTTCTGGGCAGCCCCACCCCTTGCATGGCAGTGAACTGACCACAAAAATAACTCATTTAGAAAGTATTTCATGCTAAGAATTATGGGTAAATGGTATGGTGATTTTTAACAATTGATTTCCTTCTACTTACCCCAAACAACACTAATTTGGGGGAATCTTAGATGAGATTCCATTATTGTTAGTAATAAAAAGCTAACAGACTTCTACCAAAGGGCCAGGAAATGGCTGGAAGTAGATTTCATAACTGTGGCCAAAGGGAGAATTGTTAACTAAATTAGACTTAGAGGAAAACCAGAGGAGAAAACTATTTTGATCAGCTGAAACTGATGGGGAAAAATGTCTTTGCATCAAATGTCTCTGATAAAGGTCTATTATCCAAGACAGGTAGGGAATGAACATCAATCTATAAGGCCAAGAGCCTCTGCCTGTAGATAAGAGGTCAAAGAAAATTAATAATCCTCAAGTTTGCTCCAAATCACTAACAATGAGAGAAATGGAAGTTAAACAAAACCTGAGGTTTTACCTTTTCCCCAGCAAATCTTCCAAGGTGATGACACATGAAAATGGCCAATATGGGAAGGACTACACAAAGACAGGTAGATGATGCCCTATTTGTGGAGCTGTGAACTGGTATGACAATTGTGTAAAACAATTTGGAATCATGCTCAAAAGCATCAAAATCTCCTTAGTCTTTGATCCTGAGATCCCACAGCTTAACATGTATGACAAGGGTAGAAAAGGTGAGGGAAAAAATCTGAGATTATATGTGTGTGTGTGTGTGTGTGTGTGTGTGTGTGTGTGTGTATGTATATATAAATATTCATTGCAACACTTTGTGGTAGCAAAGAAGTAGAAACAAAGTAGGTGCCCATGAACTGAGAAAAGACTAATAAATTGTGGCACATGAACATGATGGAATTGTGTTGTGACAGAAGAAACAACAGAAATGAGAAATTCAAAGAAACATGGGAAGACTTCAATGAACTGACACAGAATAGTGTGAGCAGAACCAAACCCAAGACTACAAAATGGGGGGAAGAGGAATGATGCTGAATGTTATGGAATCATAGTTACCAAGCTTGGCCACAGAGAAGAGAAAATAAACACTTCATGGAAGGAGTGGGGAAGACTATGGGTATGTATTGTTGCATAGACTGTCAGATATATGTGATCAATGTGAGGGTTATTATGGCATTGTTGACTAAAAATTTTTTTATAAGGAAAAGCTATGAGAGGAAGGTATATATTAAGCAATGAATATAACATAAACACAAAATATATTACTAAAACTTTAATTTTTTAAAAGTGCAATGGAGGGGCACATGATAGGCAAGCATAGGCTACAGTACATCATCAAAGAAGAACTGAGCAGAAGTGATAGAAGGAAAGTCACCAGAAGGAGGTGGGCCCATCACAGAGGGAAAGCTAAGGATTTGTGGTCAGACAGCCTGGGAGGGCCAGTGGTATCTATGTAATATCAGGAAATGTAGAGGCAGGCCAACAGCATGCAGGTTACTCAACCTCTGCAGGAATTATGGAAGGAAATGGACAAGAGGCACCCAGGATGAAAAGGTGTGGATGGAATACAACCTGCACCTCTGGAGGCACTGTACACTTTGACAGATTCTACAAATCCCAGGTGTTGAAGTTTCCTCCCTCTATTCCCCTCACTTTGTCTCCATGTCAACAAGCACCAGCTGATTCTGTCTTCTAATTCTTGGGGTGAAGGCTCAAGGGACAAAAACAGATTAAAAAAAGGTACAGAAATGATGAAGGGTGGAGGGGGTCTTTGAAGCTCCGTGGGGAAATGCCAAAGGGTGCAGACAGTCAAAGGAACAGGGAAGGAGTCAGTCTGGGGAAGGGTCAGTAGGAGTAAACTCCTGGAGATCTGGCCAGAAGCAGGGGGCCTCCAAACATGAGAGGGAGGCTGAGGGGACGCAACATTTCCAAGAGACACAGGCTCCAGGATCAGCTCAGGAGGCCTGCAGAAGACAAGGAACAGTCAGATAAAGTCTACATGGGGGTCTGAAGCCACGAGTAGAACTACTTCTTCCCACTAAGGGCCCCCAAGTCTCTTCTCAGCTTCAGGCCCCACTGGGCAGAGGCTGTAGCTATGAGAACCCTGATGCCACCTGGGTGGAAGGATCTTACCTGTTGGTTGTGAACCACGATTTCCTGGGAAAGGAAGAGAGACAGACATACAAATCCTTGTAAATTCCAGAGCCATAGAAGCAAAAGGCAACAAGGTTCTGAGCACTGTGGGACTGGGGGCTCCTACCACTGCTTAGCCCAGTACCTGACACCACAGAGGAAGCACTTAGTTGATGCTTTATCCATCCATCTACAACTGTCTCAGTGGATGGGGGGAGGGGAAATGGCAAGGGGAGGGGCTAAAGGATGGAACCTGAGCCCCCTCCCAAGGCTGCCTCTACTTCAGAATATGGGATTCCCTAAGACTCTGGAGCCCTGGGATCTGGCCCCTTCACCACCTTCTATAAGTTCCTAAGGAAGGAAAATGTGACTCCAGAGTCAGACCACCCCTTCACCCCTGACCTGGGACCAGATTTCTGACACAATCAAATATCCTCTCTCTTGGAGATCACAGAGGAGAGGGGCCTCAGGGCTTTCCCCAGAGGATCTCACCTTTCTGACTCCTCTTGTAGACAATGAGGCCAATCCCAAAGAAGATCAGCCCCAGCACAAGGCCCCCGACTCCACTCAGCATCTTACTCCTGGCAGATTCAGACTGTGCTTCTACAGAGGAGAGACACCAAGGATCAAAACTTTCCCTCCAGGAGCCAGCCCCACGTGGGGAGCAGATGGGTCTGAGGGGAGCCTGAGAAGGGGCTAAATCCTGCCTAAGAAAGGAAGGGATGGATGTGCAAAGGGCCTTTCAGGACTCAGGAAGTGAAAGCTCATCAGGGGACACTGACACCAGTCCATCTCAAAGCCCAGCTCCCCTACCCCAGGGGAAGGGGTCAATAAGCTGATCCCAGAGTCTGATAGACAGGCCAGCTCCCAGGGCTGGGGCCAGTGAGGAGACTGACCAGGTTCCATGTCTCCACAGGTCTTATTTCAGCACTGCCATTAGGGGCCTGGGCTGGGGAAAGGAGAGAGAGTGGGAAGCACCACATGGGGTTTGTATCAGCCCAAGGCAGAAGAAAAGAGGGTACAGGACACACACTGAGGGGATCTCAGAGCCAGCTCCACATCCTGAGCAATGTTAGAATTGGAGGGTGAGGGAGCGCTATCTCACTCCAGTCTAAGACGACAGGTTTCTGAAGGCTGGAGTGCTCCACTTGGCAGGTGTAGACGTCTCCACGCTTGGGGGTCATTTCCAGCATCACCAGGATCTGGTAGGTCCAGTCTCCGTTGCTGATCAGGCCTGTGGACACAACCCCAGCCGTCTCCTCCTGCCCATTCAGGAACCACCTGACCTCAATGTCCCCAGGATAGAAACCACTGACAGAGCAGACAAGCAGGTTGTGGTGTCCCAGGGGAGCCATCTTGGATGGATACACAATCACCTCGGGCTCAACTGGAAGAAAGAAGAAAGATCTTGAGGGAGGGAGCCACAGCAGGTCTTCCTAGCCCAGCCCCCTCCTCTGTCACCTGATCCATAAGCAGGCTCAGGCCTCCTCTCCTCCCCAGGGCCAGAAATGGGCATCTTGTTGGACCCTTAAGCTCCCCCTAAGACTAGAAATCTGAACCAATAGGAAGTAGGCCAGGAGTCCATGGTGCTCAATTATCACAGCCCCAGCTCATTAGGATTCAGGAATATGGGAAGAAATTAGCAGGCAAGATTTCTTATTATAAATGGATACTTTGTAATGGATTACTTCCAAAAGCAGATCATAGGTGTAGATATTTTTAAGGAATTTTATTTTTATTTTAAAATTTTATTTTAAGAAAGATTTCCAGATCAAATATTAATAGAGACGATCAATCCACTGAAGAAATTTTGAACCAGGGGAATTGTGCAGAACATCTAGGCCCAGCAGAAACCTGAGCATCCAGACCCAGAGTCCAGAATCCCTGGGAAAAGCAGGAATATGTCTGAGTCCGTGGAGAAAAACAATTTCAGTGATGAGGCCTCAGTCCTAAGAGTTTGTGTTATCAGAGAAGGCTGAGATGGGGAAGGGAGGGAGGGAAGGTGGTTGAGACAGGAGAGAGCAGAGCTTGGGAAGCCTCTGCTGAGCTTAGTTTCAGGGATAAAAAAGGAATAGTTTTATTTAAGATTTGAAAAGGTTCATGATACCTGGGCAGTGAGGACTTGGGGGATTTAGTTTTATATTAACTATTTTGTTGTTGCTCAATCTTTTTTCAATCATATCCAACTCCTTTGTTACTCTATTTGGGGTTTTCTTGGCAAAGACATTGGAGGGGTTTACCATTTTCTTCTCCATATTATTTTACAGATGAGGAACTTAGGCAAACAAGGTTAAGTGACTTGTCCAGGGTCACACAGCTAGGAAGTTTCTGATGCCACATTTAAAGCCAGGAAGATGAGTCTCCCTGACTCCAGGCCTGGAACTCTTTCCACTGAGCTACCTAGCTGCTTATTCACCATTTTAGCAACGTAGAAATGTTAGTTATTTGTTGGTGAAGGGTGTTTGGCTTGTTCTTAATGAAGTTTATCCCCAGTAGAATTGGAGGAGGTAAAAACATTTGAATTTGACTGAGGAAAAAGGCCTCAAGGAATCAAAATCTGTGCTGGTATAAGAGGGTTCCTTCCCCCTTCCCTCTCCAGCACATCTCCTTCCCCCTGTCCCTACCCTCTTTCTCCACCATTCATTCTCACCTTTCTTCTCCTCTCTCCACTCCCCTTGTCCCCTTCACTCATCTCCAGCTTTTCTGCTCCTAATTCCTCCCCATCGCCTCTGCTGCCCTTTTTTCCCTCCGTCACTTCCCCACCTCTTCTCCCTCTCATCCCTCCTTCTTTCTCCTTCCATCCCAGATGCTTCTCCCCATTCTGCTTCCTTCCCCCTCATCTCCTCTTTGTCCCCAATCTCCCACCCCCCATCTCCCTTCCCTGCTCCTCTCCTCTCCATCCCCTCCCTTCATCCCTGCTCCCCCTTGTCTCTCCCCTGCTCTGGGGGGCACTGTCCCTGTGACCCCCCCCACCTTCTCTCCTCCCCACCCTCCCGCTCCCAGCACAGTCTCCCCTCCCTCTGCGCTCGCCTCCAGCCCCTTCTCTTCCCCCTCCCCAGCACGTCCGCTCCTCTCCCGCTCCCTCCTCCCTCTCCCTGGGTCCCTGCTGGGATCCCCCGGTCCCTCCCTCCCTCCCCGGGCCGCACTCACCGCTCCTGCGCACTAAGAAGGGCTCAGACACCCCGTAGTTGTGCCTGCAGTAAGTGTCCACCGCGGCCCGTGCGTCCTCCAGGATCTCCTTCTGGCTGTTCCAATACGCAGCACTGGGCCGCCCCAGCTCCGTCACCGCCCGATACTCCCCCACGTCGCTGTCGAAGCGCACGTACTCCTCCCGGTTGTAGAAGTATCTGTCCATAAACCGCACGTGCTCCGTCCCGTTCTCGAAGTAACACTCGGAAGTTGAATACTCCGTGAAGTGCTCTGGGGGGACACAGGGGTTGGGGGGGTGGGGGGAAGCAGCTCTGACGGACGCCCCAGGTCTCGAATCACTCACCACAGCCTGGGCCTCACCAACGAGAATAGGGCCTACATCCGGCTGCCCTTCCTGCGCATGCCCAGCCCCACCCCCTCTGAGGCCCAGAGACGGCAAGCGACTTTCCCGAAGTCGCACAGCAAATCCAGGATGGAGGCAGGACTGGAACCCAGACCTGCAGGTTCCCAGACCGGTCCTGTCTACCTGCTGCGTCGTAGCTGCCTCTCAACCACACCCAGCCTGGTGCAAACACTCCCAGGAGATTTTACCCACCAACAACCACAAGTCCTCCTCACCCCAGTTTAACCCACTCTCTGATCCTTATGCCTCCAGTGTCTCCTTGTATCCCCCTCCTCAGCTCCTCTGCGGAGACCGGGCAGGTGACAGACCCTCAGCATTCTTTCATAACCCTAGAGGTCACACCGCTCTCTGCCCTTTGATCAGAGGACAATAATCAAATCATTATTACCCTGGCTACTGAAAAGGGCGTGGCGATCTGCTGTACCATGCAAGGCTCTACTCACAATTCATGTGACTGCTGGACCCCAGCTACCGCCCCCAGTCACCCCACCTGGCCATGTCTTACATCCTCCTCCTCCTAGAGTGTAAGCTCTTGGAGGGCAAGAAATAACTTATTTTTATATGTAAACTAGCACTCAGCACAGTGCCAGGCACACAGTAAGCACTTAATAATTCTAACTTACCGAGTCATTTCATTAATCTGTCCACCCCACAAAGGATAGAATACTTTTTAGAATGTCCAAGTCTGACCACTTCACTCACCTCCTCAAGCAGCTGTAGTGGCTCCCTATGGACCCTTGGAAAAATTTCACAACCCTAACCTTGGCGTGTAGAGCCCTCCCCAGCCAGTGCCCAGCATAGCTTTCCAGAATCTCCTATTATTCCTTCTCACACATAATTTATGTTTCATTCAAACTGGCTTCTTGTTGCTCCCCAAATGCGGCATTTCATCTCCCACCTCCACACCTGTGAACAGCCTCCATGCCTAGCCTGCCCTCTGTCCCACTCCCAACTCAAGGATTCCTTGCTTTCTTTATACTTAACAGTCTTTCCTTCTCTGTGCACTGCTGTACTTCCCCAAAGAGAGTCAGTCAATCAATAAGCATTTAGTAAGTGCTTGCTGTGTGCTAGGAGCCTTGCTGGGTGCTAGGAATACAAATACAAAGAGAATGGAACAATCCCCAGCTTTACATTCAAATGGGAGTGACAAGTGTACACAAAAGTGTAGACAGCCTGAATCCACATGAATAGAAGATAGGGAGGGAGGGAAGATGCTGGCATTTGGGGGGATCAGGAAAGGCTTCACCTTGAAAGTGGTGCTTGAGCTTGGCCTAAAGGAAGAGAAAATCTGTGAGGCAGAGGAAAGGAGGGAGTGTATTCCAGGAATGGGGGATGGCCAGGGCAAAGGCCCAGAGATGGGAGATGGGGCAGTGTGTGAGCCAAAGGCTCAAAGAGTACAGGAAGAGGAGGATGATCATATAAAATGAGGTTCCAGCCAGACTGTGAAGGAATAAAGAGGAAGATCTAAGTGATGACAGAAGCAATAGGGAGCCATTGCTGACTATTGAGGAGAGGAGTAATTTAGTCAGATTTGCTCTTAAGGAAAACACATTTTTAGGTATGTGACAGATGGTCTGGAGTGAACAGAGCAATTAGGAGGTCATCATAATAATCTGGGTGTGAGGTGATGAGGGTCTGCTCGTATGGTGGCCATAGAAGCAGAAAGGGTTGTATTTAGGAAGAAATTGAGGAGATTAGGTCATCGAGTGCTGAATTGTGGGAATTGGGTGAACCGTATTGACTCCGTCCTGGGACTCAGTTCTGGAGCTAGCTCAGTTCCCTTTTTGTTCGATTATGGGTGGAGTCCAATTTCTGTCTTGTGTGAAAATTGTGTTCACCTGTGTGAATTGGGAGAAAGTCTTATTTCATTGTTTGAATCTAGCCCTGCATGGCTGGGGAAGCCGGACCACCTCTCCCTGCTGTTAGAGACCCTTAACTAAGGCCCCAGGTTATGCTGAGCAGAAACAAGGGCAGATGCAGAGACTGAGGAAAGGAGTTTTCTCACAATTGTGCATCTCAAGCCACTCATTCTTATCTGAAAACTGACCCCATAGTAATCAATCAGTTATTGTTTCCATGTTCCTCTAATTGTTCACAAACACTTGGGGGGATGGACACCTCTTATTCTGGTTTCAGGGAATTGCACCTGTTTGCTCTCCCCCTCCCAACTTGGAATGTCCCTAATCCTTCCTCTTCTAACATTTTCCCACTTCTAGATCCAGGAGTTGCCAAATTTCTGACATTGTGCTTCTTAATCTTGGACACATCTTTACCTCCCTGAGACCTTGAGCTAGCTGTGCTGATAACTCCTGAGTCCATCCCCATGCATTTGACTGCCCTACTCAGCTCAGTCCTTCCTGTCAGGAGGACAGTCTACAATATGGCCCTCTTCCCAGCTCCAGAGGCCAGGCATGATGGCTCAAGCTTCAGCACCTGCAGTGGCCTCCTAAGTGCTCTCTGTGGTTTAAAATCTTCTCCTTGAAGTGAGCAGAACCAAGAGAACATTGTACACAATAACAGCCACGTTGTGCGATGACTAATATTGATAAACTTAACCCTTTCTGGCAATACAAGGATCTAAGACATCTCCAGAGGCCTTATGATGGAAAATGCTATCCACAGCCGAAGAAAGAGCTATGGAAGCCGAATTGTTATTTTTTTTCTCTTCTGTTGAGTTTTGTTTCCTCTTTCTGATGGTTCCTCCTAATGGTTTTAATTTCTACTTACAACATCACTATTGTGAAAATATGTTTAACATGAATGTAAATGTATAGCCTATATCAGATTGTGCGCTGTCTTGGGGAGGGTGGTGGGGAGGAAGGGGGAGAAAATTTTAAACTCAAAAGCATATGGAAGTGATTATTGATAAATCAAAATAAATTAATAAAAAAAATCTTCTCCTCTCCAAAGGATCCACCTCATCCCATGACTCTCTATTGTCCTTTAGATAAACAACTTCTTTAGCCTGGAAATCAAGGCCTTCTCCACCTCTGCTCCCATTTCCCTTTCTAGCCTTCTTTACCACTTTTGCCCACAGGAAACCTCAGCCCAAGCCAAAGTCGACTGACAATCCCATAGTTCCGCCTTGTGTTTGCCCTTTTCTATGGTCATTCTCCCACATGCATGGATTCTCTCCTGTTACTGGTGAGGTACCACCATCTTCTCAGTCACCTAGGCCCACAACCTCAGTGTTATCTTCACTCGCAAAACCCGTATTAAATATGCCCCATTTTCTGCTCTGACCCTGCCATGGCTCTGATACAGGCCCTCACCACCTCCCACCTGCACTATTGCAATAGCTTGCTGATAGGTCTGCCTGCCTCCAGTCTCTCCCCAGTCTAGTCTGTCCTCCATTCTGCTGTCAAATGGATCTTCCTAAAACACAGATCTGACCATGTCACCCACCTGCTCAATAAACTCCAATGGCTCCCTATCACTTTCAGCATCATATTTAAAAATCCTGTTTGGCCTTCAAAGCCCTTCACAACCTGGCCCCTCCCACCTTTTCACTCTCCTTACCCCTGACTCCCCCTCCTCCCATGTGCTCTGTGATCCAGTGACACTGGCTTCCCTGCTCTCCCTCCTACTAGACACTCCATCTCTCAGCTCTGGGCATTTCCTCTGGCTCTCCCCCGTGTCTGGAATGCTCTCCCTCCTCATCCCTGACTCATGGCTTCCCTGGCTTCCTTCAAGTCCCAGCTAAAATCCCATCTTCTACAGGAAGCCTTTTCCCACTTCCCTTCAATTCTAGTGCCTCTCCTCTGTTCGTTATTACCAAGTTATCCTAAATATAACTTGTTTGTACACAGTTGTTTTCATGTTGTCATCCCCAGGGTCTTTTACCTTTCTTTGTATCCCCGGCAGTTAACACAGGGCCTGGCACATAGTAAGAGCATAATAAAAGTTTCACTAACTTCTAGCCGGCAGGGAACTTAGATATTATGCAGTTTGTATGATTGTCCACAAGGGGGCAGCACCTGCTCAGTACACCCATGACTGATAGCAGGATGATACTGGAGTTGTCAGCTAGGTTAAGCAGCCTTCACTCTGCTAGGGCTGGGAGATCCCACTGCGCTTGGGTGTCTCCTTGCTCAGCCCCTAACAGACTGTCTCTGGAAGGCCCTTCTCTCTTGCCCAGCCCTGGAGATTGGGTGCTACACACGGCACACTCTCCCCCCAGAGTCAGTGCAGGTGACAGAGCTCAAAAGCGGGTCAGATTCCTGGAGGATGGCTCTAGAGTAGGTTAGGATCCCTAAGAGACTGTGATTGGCCAGGGCAGGTACCAGGCCAGGCTGCAGGGGAAATAATACAGACAATGCCAGAGGGGCTTTTATTTCCTCCCCTACAATACTTACACTAGCTGGAAGAGGATTGTGTCTCATCCCAAAGGGCTCCCTCCCTGCCCAGGACAAAGGATCTCACACTCGTGCTGGGCCATGGCAGAGGCCTCTGGATCCAGACCAGGCTGCAGGGGCAGCAGCAATGGTATGGAGACCAGAGATGACACTGAAAGATGGGGAGTAGAGAGTGTAAGCCCTGCCTGATCCAGGGGAGTGGGGGATGGGGGGAAATTGAGCCTTCACCTCTTTTTTCAGCCCATTAACAATGGATCATGAAGACAGGAGAAAAGCCAGCCAGGATCAATCCCCTTGGTCTCTCTAGACAAGTATCTGCTTCTAACCTGCCTCTGAGAAATGGATGGGGAGACATTTCCCTACTCCACCATGATGTTATTCATGAAAATCAGGAATGGTCCCAAACACACCAGCTTCACTCGTGGTCTTGAAATCATCCCTGAGAAATTAATCCAGGAAAGTCTACCCCTTGCTCCCCTAATAACAGCCAAATTGAAACCTTTCCATCAGCTTAGGCAGACTCTGTGAAGGTGTTGAGTGGGACAGAAACACTCAGCCAGGGGTGGCAGCTCTGGCCATGTCACCCCCTAAACAATAAACTCCAGTTGACTCCCTTTCACCTCCAGGATCAAATATAAAATTCTCTGCTTGTCCTTCAAGGCCCTTCACAACTGGCCCCCTCCTACCCTTCCAGCCTTCTTACACTTTATGTTCCCAGGCCCCCAGTACTCTGCTATCCTGTGACACCGGCCTTCTTGTTCTTCTATAAATTTCTCCATCTCCCCACTCTGTGCACTCTCTGGCTGTCTCTCATGCTTAGAATTTTCTTCTTCCTCACCTCTGCCTCATCACTTCCTTGGCTTACTTCAAGTACCAGCTCAAATCCCACCTTCTACAGGAAGCCTTTCCTGATCCCCCTTAATGTTAGCGCCTTCCCTCTCTTGATCATATCCCATTTCTCCTGTATCTATCTTGTTCATACAGAATTGTTTGCCTGTTGTCTCCCCCATTAGACTGTGAGCACTTGAGAACAGGAACTGTCCTTTGCCTTTCTTTCTATATTTAGTTTTAGCACAGTGCCTGGCAGGCAGTTGCTGCTTCATAATTGCTTATTGACAAACTGTCTCAATCCCTCAGCTCTTGGAGGGGGCTACATCAATTCCCTGAACCCTGAGGAAAAGGGGGAAAGGAAGCAAAGGACCATGGAAGAGTTAGTTGGGAGGGAAGCCTGAAAATCAGTTTCACCTACTGCCCACTTATCTGAGGACCATCTTGTCCCTAACCTTTCCTTTGGTCTGGGCCTAGAGTGAAGAGTGCTCCTCTTGGGCCCCAATCTGGGATCTCTGGGGAGCTGCTGCTCTGTACTTACTTGGGGCATGTCTGCCTGCAGCCACCTGGGAATTCAGCACCAGCAGGGTCACAGCCAGAACCTCTGTCCAGATGCCCCTGGGGAGCAGCACACACACCATCCTGGAGACAAGATGAAGCTAAGGGACCCAGAGAGATATAACAGTCAGGATGGCCCTCACTTCATGGGAACTACCCCGAAGTCTCCCAGAGTAAGAATTTACAGACTCTCTTGTGTGCTCCGGGGTGGGGCAATCTCAGAGGCGAGACAGCCAATTAGCATAAGGAATGAAGGGCATCATTAGTTCCCAGGCAGAGGTTCCTTTTGCAGGGTCTGTTCTAATACTTAAATGTTTTTCTGGTGAAGAAAAAGGAAAAGGTCACTGAAATCATAGAATCTCAGGGAAGGAAGGGGCCCCAGAGGTCATGTCTTGCCCAGTCTATTATAATAGCCAAATGTTAGCATGCTGAAGCTGAGCTGCGAGTGTAGATCAGTGAAAGTCTTCACTACTGTAGTGGATCCAATAAAACTGAAGAAGGACCAATGTTCCAATATTTTTAAAAATGGAAGATAGATAAGTCTGTAATCTGTGGTTCAATGAATTTTGCTTTTGACTCAGAAACATTTGAAAATACATTACAAAAGATATGGTTTGTGAGCATTTTGAAAGGGAAGAGTGATTGTATAAAAGCCATCAAGATCTCACCAAAAACAGGTCATCACAGACAAACCTTCCTTTTTTTTGACACTAGAACTGAACTGATGGTTCAGGAGAATGTTGTAGATACAGTGAACCCATCAGATTCCAAAAAAGAATATGACAGTCTCCAATGCTACCCTTGGGGAGAAGATGGACAGACATGGACTGGATGATAATGCTGTTAGCTAGATTTGGAAATGGTTGGACGGCTGGGCCCAAAGATGAATCCTTAAAGGTTGAATGTCAGATTGGAGAAAGTTCTCTAGTAGAGCATGCTAGAAAGCTGTCCTTGGCCCTGTACTAGTCAACGTTAAGTGTCCATCATGCCTTGGATGAAGACATAGAGGGCATGCAAAGTGAATTTTCAGATGACTTGAAACTGGGAGACATAGCTAATATATTGGATGACAAAGCTAGGATCCAAAATGTTGTTAACAAGTCAGAATGATGGAAGAATTGAATGGAATGAGATTTAACTTAATTGAGATAAATGGAAAGTTCTGCACTTGGGCTGAAAAAATCCACTTTATCAGCTGGAGTGACTTTATGTGATGAGGAGACATCATAATAACAGCATTCACAGATTTAAAGTTTGCAAAGCACTTTATAATTATTACCTCATTTGTTCTTATCATGCCTCTTGGTTGACACAAAAAATGCTAAGTACAAATGTGGCCTTTTTCTCAATTGGCTTCAGAGACTTTAGAGGCATTATCCAGAGAGAAGCATAGACAGAGGGAACTCCAGGTATTAATGAAGAAAGCCTTTGGAATGGCATGAATGTATGGAAGGTCAGGCCTATCTTGTCTTTGGACTTGCTCAAAATTCTAGAGACTTCTAAGAATAGATCTACTGTGAGTGAGATTGCTTGTTCATTCCTTATTTGAGTTGAAAACTTAACTCACTTCCAGATGAAAAGCTCATTTACTCTTATGTATTTTATGTCATCTTCTAATCAGACAAATTCTCTGATTTCTGTTTGCTGTTTAGCTTGGATAAATGGGTTTATTCACTATTTGCTATTCATTATAATCTTTTGCATAACCAGCATTTTGGGGGAGAAGGAGCCGAGCTGAGGGATGTAAGCCTGGGATTACCCTCCCCCTTTAAAAATAATCAGGAAGCAACCATGCTGGAGAGCAATTTGGAACTATGCCCAAAGAGCTATAGAACTGTGTATACCCTTTGATCCAGCAATACCACTACTAGGGCTTTATCCCAAAGATATTTCAAAAAGGGAATAGGACCTCTTTGTACAAAAATATTTATAGCAGCTCTTTTTGTGGTGCCTAAGAATCAGAAATCGAGAGGATGCCCATCAACTGGGGAATGGCTAAACAAGCTGTGATATATGATTGTGAGGGAATATTATTGCGCTATAAGAAATGACAAGCAGGATGATTTCAGAAATCTTGAAAGCCTTACATGAACTGATGCAAAGTGAAGTGAGTAGAACCAGAAGAACATTGTACACAGTAATAGCAACATTGTACAATGAAGAATTGTGAATGACTTAGCTATTCTCAGCAATACAATGATCCAAGACAATCCCAAAGAACTAATGATGAAGCATACTATCTGCCTCCAGAGAAAGAACTGAGGCTATGTGATACAGACTAAAGCATGTTATTGTCACTTTCATTCATTCTTTCTCTTTTTATTTGTCTTCTTCTACAAAATGACTAATATGGAAATGTTTTACATGATTGCACATGTATAAACTATATCAGATTTCATACCATCTCAGAGAAGGGGTAGGGGAGAGAGGGAGAGAGAGAGGGCTAAAATTTGAAACTCAAAACTTTTTAAAAAAATGTTTAAAAATTTCTTTTAACATGTAATTGAGTAAAAAAATTATATTAAACAAAATTCATCAGGAATACAGCTTTTGTTGTGAAGCTGTCATTCCCTAGACTACAACTATTTGGGAGAGTAACCCTAATGGTGCTACGGGGAATGACAAGAGGAGAGAAAGAAAGAGAGAGACAGAGGGAGAGAGAGAGAGGGAGAGAGAGAGAGAGAGAGAGAGAGAGAGAGAGAGAGCAATCTTACCCAGAGGACCATTCTCAGAAGCCTCTAGAATTTCAAGTAAGTTCAAGGAAAGTATGGGGCTAGTTTCCTGTGCATGTCTGTCATTCCAAAGATTTTTTCCCCACTACCTCCCTAATGTCCTTTGTCTACATGTCTCTGAATAATCTCTCCAAAGTGTCTGCAGCCAAATGAAGTAAGCCCCTTACACAGTCATGCAACATCACACCCAGTATTCTTTCCACCAATCAGGAGTCACATACCCCTCCACATAAGCAGCATGCAGCACACAACTATCCCTCCTGCACTTTTCTTACTCCCACTGCAAGCTTCCTCCACGTGGGTAGGAGCCAGGTCACAGTTATTATGACTGGAGTGTGCACCAAGATCTAATGAGGGATGAGGAACCCCAATACAAGAAGTGCTGGAGAGAGGATTCTGAGCTCTCAGTATCTCTTAGAAGTTTATAGCTAATGCTGGAAGTCTCTTCTGGCTAAGAGCCTGTACTTAGGTTTCAGTAAAGAAAAAGCTAAGAAAGGTCCATGCTGAGACCTGCCTCAATCACAAATGCCCTTTCAATGAAACATCTCCACTTGAGATTTTAAATGAGGTAGAGAAAGGTCTGATGTAAGGAAGAGGGAGGACTGTTTAATACAGCCCCTCTCAGTAGGATGAACACCATCAGTCTTTGCTGATAGCTGTGTCAGTGTGTACTCATGTCCTTTTCTCTCTCCCTACTCCACTCACACCTGCCCCACTCCATCTCCCTTAAAGTGTCCCCCAAGCCTTATCCCTCAGAGTCATGAGTCCCATCCACAGAGCCTCTAACCCCAGTCAGGAAGGGAGGAACAGAGTAGTTCTCTTTCAGTTGTAAGGAAGGACTGGTGGATCCTGAGCTTCCTGGAGTGGGGGAGAAAGTTGCAGATGGAAGAACAAGCTTTGAAGAAGCTGTCTGGGGAAACCCTCTGATCCTACCTTGGAAGGGCAGGATGTCCCAGCCAATGATGAGTAGAGGAATGTGTAGCATCATCTGTCTCCAGCAGATGGAGCCTAGCAGTTGGTCTAGTCTAGTGGATTAGAGAAATCATCACTGCAGAAAGAAGGTATTTGGGGTAGTTGATTAGGGGAAAGAGAGAGACAGGCAAAGAGACAGACAAAGACTGAGACACAGAGAGAGAGAGAATGCTTGGATACATAAAAAGCAGAGACCTTGGGATCTGAGAGGGACCTGGAGCATTGGTGAATCAGCAGTTCCATACGGGTGTAAAACAAAGTCTAGACTAGAGACAGAGCAAGATGGGGAAAACTGGGGACAAGATATCTGTATTTCTCTGGCAAGCTCCTAGGACAGGATGTAACATGGCCAGCTCCTTGTTGGCTGACTAGACGCCCGTACTTCTGGCTGAGAAAATGGGAAGTATAAGAAAGATGAGTCCATACTCAGGCCTGCTCAGTCATGGGAGGGAACTGGGTCCACGGCCTAGCTTCAAGCCCATC